CGAGAGCCGTTTTGCAAGAGATCGAACCTTAATGAAGTCAACTTTTTTGTTCAGATGCAAGGATTTGCAAAAAAAAAAAATGTCTAAACGCACCAGCCAAATAGACTCAACAGAAAATAAAGCTTCCTTGAGTCAATAATTATAAGGGCATTTTCGTCATTTCAATCAGAACTCTGATTTGTAAAAAACAGCAAGGGATTTTATTGACCTTTTAAAATTACTTGGGACTTAACTAGTATAAAACTAATCTTTTAGGACTTGATTGTCATTTTTCCAAGAACTTATGACCATAACTTTATGCAGATTTTTATCGCCACGCAACGAATGGTAGTACGGTACCACTTTGATATAAAGCAGTGACCACGTTGAACACGTGATCTTCTTTTTATGGTACAATAATTCCTTTCAATAGGCCATAGCGATCCATTTACCATGCATTAATTTGAACTTTATCTTTTATTTTTATATATAAGAATAAGGTTATCAAAATACTATCATTTACATGAATAGCATTTCCTTTATTTGCCCAATGCAGACAATCAAATAATAAATAAACTATATGTTTGATTATAATTATTCCACTATGAGAAGATAATTAATTAATCATAATGTATTGTAAAGTCACACCTTTGTTTTAATGAAAGAAATTATGGTTAATAAATAATCAATAAAATATAAAATGCCATTTGTTTGAACAATGGTTTAATACAATATACTTGTGGAAGCAATTGTTTTAATAAATTTTCAACGTTTATATTTCTGAGCTTTGAGAAAGATTTACCGGAAAATCCTTTTTTTTTTTTAATTTACATGAATAACTGCAGGTTTGATAATGATTCCACTGAGATCATAATGTATGTTATGATGTAAAGCAATACGTTAGTTGAATTAACGATTTTAAAAATCCATGGGAAATATTTAATAATAAGTCTTTTAAGCCATGAAGCACTTTTTTTAAATTCCAGAAAAAGATTATGATTTTTTAATTTTTAAAAAAACTTATATAGAACTCCATATGGAAGGAATCTCGTTCAAAATGTCTCAACCAAGCAACTATCAACACCACAACAAATCGAATATGCCACAAGGTTTTCACTCTAAAGCACCAATAATAATAATAATAATAATAATCATAATCATAATAATGCTCATTGAAGAACACGAGTATTAGTTCACACATTATGCGTTATACGCTTTAAAGGTGCTCTTTGGAAATGAAAATTTTCACTCAATATATATATATATATATATTTTATAACTGGCCTCGATGTTCATTTTTAGCACCTATGTATGTTGGACCTTCCCATTTTAACTGTGGGCAGTGGTTTGCACTAATGGTACAATTAAAAGTATACGATGGAAAACAGTCATTAATAGAATGAAATGAGGTGGAATTGATAGAATGGAGCATTCCATTATTGTTTTAGAGTTTTATTAGATAAACTAAGCATTTTATTTAATCATTATTTAAAAATTATGATAAAATTAATAGATTTAAATTTTCTATATAATCATGAAAAGGGTAAGAGGGGTGAAAATGATGAGTTCAAGATGACTTGAAAGGCTAACTCAAACCATTCAACTCCTTTTAAAAAAATTATTTCAAAAACAAATGGATAAGTATATTCATCTAATACAAGTTACTTTTTTCGATAAAAAATATAAAGTATTTTTAAGGAGTTGAATATTCAAAAATACCTCTATTAATAATAATTTTATATTTATCGTAGGATGTTTAATAGGAATAAATATAAAAAGATAAAGTCAGTTTGAAAGTAAATAACTATTTTATTAAAGGATAAAATTCAATTAAAATATCTTATATTTTTAAACGAAAATAATTTTTTATATAGGTGCAATTTAATGCTTATTCCAATGGTTAGTTGGATTAAGTAATAGATATAACTAATATTAACGAGGGAGAATTGCATTAATTCAAGGCTCTCTAGCAAAAACTTTGTAGATAAGGCTCAATAAAATCTGATATTACTCTGAAGGCTCAGAAGCCTTATTTGTATTTATGTTTTTACGTGAAATGACTCATTTGCCCCTTACATACACAACTGTTCGTTTCCCTTATTTCTCTCACCTTCCATTAGGATTTCTTCTTCCCACCCTCAGTGATATCTCCTCCCACCTCCCCGCCGACGGGAACGGCAACTGGATGTCGTCCGCTATTATCACCGATGCATCCCAACGCCACCGATTCCACCAGTCTCAGATCATTAATCGCTTTGGAAATTAGGAACGGTCGCATACTCTCAACAAACTTGAACGGAAGAGGTAAAGAAGAGCAAATCTAGGATCGATCATATTCATGAACACAAGCATATAGTTTTGCAACAACACGAGAAGACTAATTAAAGATCAAGGCCAGGCAAAATCAACACAGACCCTGGACTCCAAATGATTTTCCATGAGACCATGATCATCTTCTTGGTGGTGTGGCTCGAGTTTTTGAAGGATTGGGCGGAAGCAGGCAAACCAGTCGAAGCAGATGCAGAAGCAGCAGATAGAGGTGAAGATGTTTGAGGAACAGTGAGGAGAAGAAAAATAGGAAGCTATGAGAGCTGCAGAATCCCACTTGCGATTCCCAACAAGTTCTGAAAATAGCAGTTGTATCATGGAAGCCATACAAATTCTAAAACCCATATTACGTTGAAATATTATTCCTTTGTTAAAGCTCATGATGAAATCGGATCGACCATTTTATTGAAAGAACTCGGATAAGTGGGCTGAAAAGGTAAAAGGATTGGGATGATGATTGGTGATGAAGGAACAGAAGAAGCCGCTGGTTTGAAAGAGTTTCTAGAAGCTGTGGCATGTAGTTCTACTTTCAGGAAAGTAAGAGAAATGGAGTTTTTTTTTTTTTTTTGGGGTTGTGGCCGCTGATCTCCCATCAGCGTTGAGGTGGCCGGGAGGGCATATCGTTGAGGGTGGCAGGGAAGAAATCCTCATCGGAGGTGAGAGAAATGAGAGACCCAAAACAGTTGTGTATGCGTGAGCCAAATAAGTCATTTCACTTAAAAACATAAATGCAAATAAAATCCTTGGGTCTTCATAATAATATTTTATTAAGTCTAGTCTATAAATTTTCTATTTCTGAAGCCCCTGAATGCAATTTTTCCTGTTAATAACTAGCTGGTTACTCAAGAGAGAAACCACTTCTCATTGATTAAAGTACAGCCAAAGGTGATGAAGATGACCTGTAATGCAGCCTGACTGCAGAGAAAAAAGAGTAGTACAATCCACAGTGCATAAGTATTCATGGAAGGTATGAGATGATAATGGTGGCTAGCTAATAAAAGAACTTGAAAATGAAAATAGAATCAATTTGTACGCGCGCGTGCCTCTGGCCAGTGGTATGATTATGAACTTCAATGTTGGGACGTAACCTTTGTCAGAAATCTAATGGTGACCACACGCTGACACGCACATTGATATCTTTGCAAATGTCCAACTGTAATGATGTCCGGTGGGCATGGCGATCGAATCTCCACAAGAAGAGAGGTGTCTACTTTGATTGCCTGGCCATTTATCTTCTTGAATACGATTACGTTCAATGGGAAGATAACAGCTATGAGTAATGTACAAAAAATGTCAGGGTGCAGATACTCCTTTCTTTCTTTAGGGAATCCATCCTAGCCTATTCTTTCTTTGTTCTCGTTACTAAAAAAAGATACTGAAAATTTTAATCTTTTAAATCTGGTTCTAGTTTACTTTTTATTGTCGTGGTCTTTTAATGGTTGTTTCGATTATTAATTTGTTTTTTATTATTTAAATAAAAGATAATACTATTAAAATTTTTCATAAGTTTCACATTAAGAGCCTCATAAATAATGTAAGATTTATATAAGTGTGAGAGATTTTTTTTATTAAGCTAGTCTTAAAAAAATGATAATAAATTTTTTTTAAAAATTATATAACATTTTCCCAAATAGAATTCCTATCACTTTGATTGGCCAAATGACATTTATGTGACTCTTACATTATTTCCTTAAAATTGTTTTCTTTATCAACCGCCAATGTAAGGCGGTTTTATAATTTATGACTAATAATTAATAATTAATTTTTTCTTGTCCTAGTTTATAAGATAATTTTAAATAAATTATACATATCAACAAATTTTATTAAATATAGTTTATAATATTATTTTTTTCAAAATAAAAATAAAAATTTTTAAAAATATTTTCATTTAATAACCTTAAAGAGAGAAAATTGAGACTTATGTACTTAATCTTATATATTAATATACTTGTATCTAATCAAATCATGATAAGTGAATCTTAATGTGTAAATAAAATTAATAATAAGAATTTATTATTAAATAAATAATATATATTAAAGATCTACATGTCTTAATTTAATTGAAAACAAGCATATTAAGTATATAAAACTCAGCATTCAGTGAGTGAAAGGTATTGAGTCAATGATCTAAAGACACTCACTCAATAAATGTCTCAATTATATAATTTTATTAATACTTAAAATATATTTTCATCTAAAGACTTGAGACAATCCTCATAATCATAACACTCCTTACTCATGATGGCCCCTCCAAGAATTTCAAATTTAATATTTTGAGTATTATACGACAAAATCTTTGACAATCATTCTAATAAATGAAATTGTTGTTTTTCGTGTCACATAATACATATATTGAGTGAATGTATTTAAGATACTAAATCTGGGTAAGTATTGAAAAAGTATATATCATAAGCACAAGTCCAAATGGTGAGCTTATACCAAAAAAATATCCTATTAAGAAGGAGAGCTCTTCATACTTATAAATTTTACTTCATTTATAAGACTCCTTGATGTGAGACTCATTTCTAATATATTTAAAGAAATTTATTTTTATCAAATTATTTTATAATTTAAGACACTGAGTCACATTCAAAATTGTCTTATAAACCAGAAGCAAAGGGTTGTTATTGCCATGAAATTGTTTTCGGCACGTTTATACCATTCCCCTGCCCTAGACCATTAAATAAATGCCATCAATCACACCATGAAACACCAAGCTAAACAAGAAAATCATAATCTTCCCTCCCACCATTGATCATGGCTTCCAAAAAACAAGTTCTCATTCTCCTTCTCCCTCTCCTCACACTGTCCTCCATCATCAAGCCCTCCCATGCCAATGACCGTTTGACAAACGCCAATAGCGGCAAAGTCGCTGTCTACTGGGGACAAAAAAGTGAATCCGGTGAAGGGAACTTAACTACTACATGCGACTCCGATCTCTACAACATCGTCGCCCTCGCATACCTTCATGTGTATGGCAACTCAACAACCTTAGTATTGAGCAACCATTGTCCTTCCGGCGATTGCAAAGCCCTAGCATCGGAAATTCAACATTGTCAAAACAAAGGCATCCAAGTCTTTCTTTCCCTTGAAATTGACGCCATTGATGACCCAAATTCCCTGGGAAGCTATCTTTACGATGAATTCCTTAGCGGCGAATCGGAATCTGGCCTTCTTGGACCGGTGGCCTTAGACGGCATTGATCTTGCCAACCTTGATCAGAGCACTGAGTCATGGGTCGACCTTGTGAAGGCAATCAATGGTTCGGTTAAATTCTTTATAGTAAATAAAAAGATAGTCTACTTTATCAAAACAATTAAAGTCACTTGGTTAATCATTTACCAAGCTATATATATATATATATATATCCACGATCAATCTCTTAATTTCTAGATGTGTGATTTCGTTTATCTCTAATAGGTTCGACCCAAGAAAGAAAGATTTACATATCAGGAGCTCCACGTTGCGAACTCACAAACTTCGACAGCGCAATCGCTACTGGTCTTGTGGATTATCTTTTTGTTTATACTATGGCCAATACGCGACGTGCGAATATTTAGGAAATGGCGACTTCACGGGGCTTCTTGAATCATGGCCGATGTGGACGTCCAAGGAAGGTGTAGCTGATCATACCTCTGTGTTCTTGGGGTTAGTAGCGTCAGATGACCCAGCTGCAGCATCCAGTGGTTACATATCACCAGAACAGCTCGAGTCTGTGGTTTTTCCGAACGTGACTGAATCCTCAAACTTTGGTGGAGTGATGATATGGAACAGGTACTATGATGAGCTAACAAGTTATACTACTGATATTAAGGATGCTTCTGGCATGAAAGTTTGTAAATATGTTCGTCGTGTTCCTGCCTCAAGGAAATTCAGAAGTTTCTTGGCCAAATCTGTGTAAGATGGGAAGGGATGTAATAATAGCTTGACATAGCTATATCTATGTCTAGCTACAGCTAGGCTTGCATGCCAGTGTGACTGTATGATCCATGCATGTTTTACTAAAACCATGTAATGGATATCTCCCTTTAAATAAAGATCTACTTTTGTAAATCTGAGCTTTGAACAATATATTTTGTTAATGATGTGTTTAGATGTACGAAGATTTAATTTGGATTTAAAATTGGCTTCTTAACCAAGACGAAGCTCAAGTGTAATGTTGTAAGCAAAGGGTTTAGGTAACCGAAGCTCAATTCTATTATAAAGCATTTGGATTAATGAATTTAAATTTTATATTTAAAATCTTACATTTCAATATCAAAATTGAAATCATTTATTTGGATAGTTTGAAAAATTTTAAACGAAGAAAGAGAAAAGAAATGAATTGAGATTTGAAATGAAAATAAAAAATTAAAATGAAGAGTTTATTTATATTTTTTATTTACAAAAGATGAGAGAACATAAGAGAATCATAAAAGTATTAATAGTAAAACATAGAAAGAAAGAAAGAACAAATGTTTAAAGTGGTTATTAGAATTTCAAATAACTAGAATGTATAGAAATTTAAAATTACAAAAAAATTATAATTTGAAATAGATTTGAATTCAAACCAAATCCAAATTCATAAATTTATGTATATATTAATGAAAGATTTGATTCAAATCATTCCAAATTTAAATCCCCATTAATCCAAGCACACTATTACATTACTTACTGCTAGCTTGCATGCTTATGATTGTGAGTTTTTGAAGATGAATATATCTTTTGAATGAAATTATGTATTTTGGACTATAGAACTGCCTAGTGAAGTGAGTATTTGGTGTTATATGACGAATGAAACTTGGACGAGTTATGATTGATGATGATTTGCTTTCTATGTATATGATTATGCTGAAATATAAGTCATCTATAAATGACATTATAGTATGATCATGTGAGTTGTTATGGGAAGTCACTTTATGGGACGATTATATTTACTTCTTTCTTTTTTGTTTTTTGTGAATGACGATATATTTACTTTCATTAATACAATGTGATATGCTACCATGAACGCCACAATGATAAAAAGATATTTGTATGTTACTGCTAGGCTTCAGTCATTTGCTTTAGAAAAGTTGTTACTCTATTCTTAAATAGTTACCGTCCCGCAAATGTTTTATTTCAAATTTTAAATATGGGGCAATTTATCATTTTATCAAAAATCAATATATCATACAAGTCCCTAGAGACTATACAATAACTGTGACATTCATGATTTTTTTTTTATCATTTTCATATTTCAAGGATTTTTTTTTGTTGTCGTTCTTTTACACCATCCTACGAGGAGAAGAAAATGAGAGAAAATAATGAAGCCAAATTATACGTTAGGACCACCAAAACAAAGACGAGAGAACTTGTGACCATAATTTTATGTAGATTTTGTCAGCCACGTAAACGATTGGTACCACTTTGATATAAAGCAGCGAGTGCGGTTGAACACATGACCTCCTTTTCGATGGTACAATAATTCCTTTCAATAGGCTATTAGCTATCCATTTACCATGCATTAATTTGAACTTTATGCTTTTTATTTATTTATAAGAATGAGGTTATAAAAATACTACCATTTACATGAATAGCATTTCCTTTATTTGCCCGATGCAGACATATATAATGTAATTAATCCACACACACACAAATAAACTATATGTTTGATTATAATTATTCCTGGCCACTAGACCAGATAATTAATTAACTGTAATTAAAGTCACACCTTCTTTGAATTAATGAAAGAAAATCATCGTAAATATTCAATATCGAACATAACATCCCATTTCTTTGAACAATGATTTAATACAATGCATATGTGGAAGCATTTTTTTTAAATAAAAATTTCACGTTTATATTTCAGGGCTTAGAGAAAGATTTCGTTGAATTCCTTTTTTTAAAAAAAATTACATAAAATATGTTTGGTTATGATTCCACTGAGATCAGATTGTTACTTTAATGTAAAGCAATACGTTAGTTGATTTAACGATTTTTAAAATCCATGGGAAATATTCAATAATAAGTCTTTTGAACCAGGATTTAGAACGAAGCAGTAGTAGCATCCTTGACCTTTGGAAGAATTTTTTTTTTTTAATTTCCAGGAAATCATTATGATTTTTTTAAAAAAATAATTGATATATTTGAAAGAAGGAATCACGTTTATGATATCTCAAATAAGGAATTATCAACATTACAATTAATCGAATATGCTATGAGGTATTCAATCTAAAACACTAAAAAAAAAAAAAACAAGTAACGGTCGTTGAAGAGTATTTTCATAGGTACTCTTCTAAAACGAAAATGTGTTTCATTCAATATCATTATTTATTTGGTGGCCTCAATATTTGTTTATTGATAGCTCCTATGCATGTTACGCGTTCCCATTTTAGCTGTGGACAGTGGTTGCACGCTAACGTACTGATGGGACATGAGATTAATTAGATTTAAAACTTTTATTTTATTATAATTATTATGTATATAAAGAAAGTCTCACGTCTAAAGATTAAAAGATAAATCATAAATATATA